CTCTGCAGTGTTCAAAATACTAGTTCAGTTCAAGCCTTGTGCCCCATTATCCCAGCATGCAAGGACCACTTGCATGTCAAGTCACTAATTTAGTGGGCTGGAGCACAATGAGCACTGCTGTAAAGGATAAATACCCTCCCCCCAGCTCTAACTGCCCCTCTGTCCCTCTCATCAATCATGTGGAATATGTACGTTTCCTGATTCTTGAAACAGTGAACTCAGTATACAGTGTATTGTTCTCTCAGGTGCAGCTGAGACATCAGGAATGAAAAGGACCAGCGTAATAAAAATCTGGGTTTATAAATTTACCTTTTTTTGTTCATTTTGTTGTGGTGGCTGATTTTTGGTGTGAAGATGATTATCTAACCTGAAGATCCATCTTCTAGTACAGACAAAAAGGGTCTTCAGTTCACAGGCTCAAACTTTTCTTATTTTGCTTTTATAAGTTGGGAGACATTTGCTAAAGATCTAATATATTTCCATGTTTTTACTTGGAGATTTAATTGTGAAGGACTAGCCTCATGTTTTCAATTGTGGAATGTGAATGAAAGTGGATCCTTGTCTGGCTCTACTTTGAAAATGTGATTACCACCAAATATTTCTGCTTCAAATTATACTGTTGCATAGAGAGAGGATACAATTTCTAGCCCAAGCTGACAGCAGTGGAAAGAGATATGCACATATTTCAACAAGTTGATTTTATATTAAAGAAGTAATTATTTTAAGCTACTTCTGATATACATACATTTCTGTGTGTGTGTGTGTGTGTGTGTGTGCCAACAATGTACATTTAAAGAGGTTTTCTAACAGTGGACCATTATTTGCTAAAAGAATGCCACTTTACTACTTTCTGTCTTTACCACTGTACTGTTTCAGTACAGAGATATCCCACCTCTTGGCAGAGGAAGGTCAAAACAGCTATATGCAGCCTACCTTGCCCACATTGGTATTGCCAAAGTTCTCATAGTTAATTAGGTAACTGGTCCTACTTTATACTAAGGTTGCATTTATAAAAAGGTTTATACAAAGTAAGTGAATAGTCGGTACTTACAGGTCTGTTACAGGCATAAATTAAGGTTTCACAGATGGGTATAAACCTATCCATAGAAGTTGTTATACACAGTGATGAGTAATTCATTAAACCACAGGACTCTAATAGTGGATTTATCATTTATTGAAGCATGTAGTCCTGCATAAAAATGTATAATGGTTAATCATAATGGTTCATCATAATATCAGTACGAAGCATGACAATTCATCTGATGCATGGACAATTATGAATTGGAACACAGGGACTTAGGGTGCCTATACATGAGCACAGAGGCTGCTCTGATGTGCTGTAATAATTACAGTGTGTCAGAACGGACTCAATTAATTGAGATGGCTGAGGCATGGTAATCCTCCAGTCAGCTTCCACATCTTGTGTATCAGTGTCCCTGAACTTCAATATGGTGGCAGGGTTGTTTTATCTAAAGCTCATTGAATGAGCTTTAGATAAGGCACCCCTGCTGCCATTTTGAAGCATGGGGACACTGATACATGCTCTGGGTGCTTTAATTAGAGCAACTCTTGGAGCCACTCTAATTCAAGCGCCCCCCGCCCCTCCCCCACCAAGCCCTAGAGCATGTGTATAGACACCCTTAGTGTCCATAGGAGAATCCTGTTCAACTATACGCATCTCTTAATATTAGAGAAAAATGCAACTGAACATTTTTCTAGTTCTTTCAGTCCATTTATGTTTGTGATTCACCACTCAAACCATTATGTGGGAAAGCCAGTTACAGCTATCTGTGCTCTCACAGTTACCCACATACCAGCTTGTGAAATCACCATAAGAATATTCAAGCACAGCTGGGCCTAGGGTATATGGACTAAACATCTTATATTTTAGTCCTCACAAACCCCCATTATCTGTTCTTTCACTAGATGTCTGTGGCTTGTTCACACTGCACTCATTGGTAGGTGATGCCTGTAGTAGTAGGAAGTAGTCTTAGGTGTTTAAGTACAATTATATTCCGCCCTTCTTTTATAAAGTGTTCATACCAAAACCTGGTCCATACGTTTTTAAGCCATGATATAGTATAACCCCAAATTGATCCATAACCTGAAATATTATAACTCTAATATATAATACTGACACATATTTTAAAAGTGTTACTGTATAGAGAGGAGGAGGGCTTTTTTGTTGTTTTTGTTTTGTTTTTTATGTAATACATTTTGGGTAGAATGTACATACTATGAAGACCAAACACCTGAGGTATCAAATTATAATCTCCATGAACCTCAGCACAAGTTTATAACCTCATCTAAAATACAAAATACAGTGGAAAATCTTGGACTAATGCCAGTGAACATAGACAATAAATATTGCTTCGGTGAAATATATATGATTGAAATCCCAATAAATATAGAATTTAAAAAATAACCACATGGTATTTCCATGATACCATATAATTTAGTTGCCACAACAACAAATAGGATTGTTGTTGCTTGAGTGACTGTTTGACAGTCTGTTTAAAAATAATATACAGTGATAATATTAGTTATTTATTGAGTTAATGCAAAATATCAGAAGAATATTGCATGAAAATCTTATTTATTCCGTTGACAACAACCTCCCTAATAAATTAAATTTACCCAGTGTTTGAGCATGCAAGGTGATAAAACTGTGTTGGGAATTTACATCATGGGAATTTACAGTATGCTATACCATACACTTAAATAATCAGTTTAGTACATACCAATAGACATATGGAATATGGAATAGACCAAATTCTAGTGATATAAGTCTAGTGACATCAATAGAGCCCCATCCAAAGAAAATCTCAGTGAAGGCAGAATCTATTTAATTTCTACAAAATATATTTTATTTAGTAAAGCTCAGAATCATTCAGGCACATTATTTGTGTCTAAGTGATCACATATGAGAGGACTGTGAGTGAGTCCCAGAATTTGTTCATGTACATAATTCCTATTGAAGTCAAAGGGAGTTATAGATATACCGAGCCAAATTTTATTACACTATTAGACATATAAATAGTTTTAGGTACCTAAGTGCAATTGTATTCCACCCTGTTCAAGTCCCTGAAAAGCTGTTAACACAAAAGGCAAGTCAATCCTTCTCCTCCATTTTGTTACTCAGTCATAAGGGTCAGAGTGTGTGTATTGCAAAAGTAGATCCATTAATGGATTTTACAAAGCTTGAACAGGATGAAATAGAATTGCACTTTAGGTGTCTATGTCCACTTAGACACCTAATAGGTGGCATAGAATCTCGTCCTTGAAACTCCATGGAAGAGTCTAGTAATTTTAACACCTTCTAGATATTGCAAAAAGTCATCTTTTTTATTTAAAAGAAAAATACAATACACACAATGATTCAATTGTCGTGCTCTTCCAGTATCCAGCTACACTACAAATGCAAGTATTTTATGCAAAATACTTAAGTGCAGATGTTAGCTATGGAATTTCCATACATAAAAAGCATGAATTGTAACATGTAGATAAATATAGTATTCATCAGTCTGGGTAGGCTTGTGTGCAAGAAAAAAAAAGAGAGTTAAATTATTCTTTTAAAACTGAACTCTGCTGTATATGAGAGCAGCCACTAGTAGAGTGACCCTCCCGTCAATAGCTTTGGGGTTCTAAGCAACATGCTACAAGCACTAAATAAAAGTGCATGCTCTCTTGTGCTTTTCCAAAATCTCATTAATAACGTCTAGTATTAAGCAATAAAAACTTGGGTCAATCCTCCCCCCTGGTCAGCATCAGATTGCAGACTCTGAACTGGGCCCCCTATATTAGAAGTCACTGTAGAGTCAGTCCCAACCTTCAACCTCTTCACCCAAGCCCCACGTAATTAAATTACTATAATACTGTTAAGCAAGATGACATCATCATATGCCGGTTAACCTCTGAATTATACCAAAGCTCAATTCTGTTGAGCTGTTGGATATAGCAATGATTTAACCATTTAAGAATGGATGCACCAAAGTTTTCATTACCTTTGTTTTCTCAGAGGTATCACAAACCTTGACCCTTGCAATAATTGCTTGTGTTGTCATAGGGTATCAGCAGGCATTCATTTCTAACAAAGGAAATTTCTGAGAAATCTTTCCAGTAGAGGAAGCAGTACAGGCATTCAGCCTGCAACCACTCCACCTCCCCTGCTCTCTGCACTTTCCCTAGACAACAATGATGCCAGTTTGGGAAAGGTGTGGGGAGCAGCGGCTACTCTACCCCTAATCCCCAGGGAAAAGTGGAGCAGTGGAAAAAGACTTCCTACACCTTCCCCAGATGGGGACGGTCTCTGGTCTGGGAAGAGGCAGGGACTTCTCTCCCAAAACAGGCAATCCCCAGTCTGTAGAAATACAGGGAACTTTGACCCTACTGCTCTACTCCCTTCCCAGTTCCGTCTGGGAGTAGCATGCAGGCATTAATTTTTGCAAGAGAAACTCTCTGACAGGGGAAATCTTCCAAGTGTCAACCTGGAAAATCTTTCCTGGACGGTACTTGTTTGTCCTGTGAGAAATGAAATGAATGCTTATATGCTCTTAGTTTCAATCATTATTTATTGTCTTAAAGCCCACCTTCATCAATTTTAGCCCAACACTAGTAAATAACTAAATAACTTAAACCTTTATGATGTGCTTGATGCACTTTTTTCTAGATACATTAATTTTATTAATCTGCATTAACAATTTTTATGCACAAGGAGTAAGCTTGCATTATGTGAAGGCATGGCCCACAGAAGAATCTTCCTCTCTCAACTTGCCACACAAAAAAATGGTCCCATTGGTTGTGTTTCAAAGAAATCGTGAAAAACCAGGGTTATCAGTACAATAGAAGTGCTGATGTGGATGGAATAGCATAAATATACGAATTAGCATTAATATACTTTCTGTTAGTATATATGCAAGGGTTGAAGATCACTTGTGAAAGGTGGGGTTTCCATTCTTGTTTCTCACTCTAGATGGTAATATTTTACCAATTTATTCTAGGTTATTTGATCATTCCATGGAAGGGTTTAAAAACTGGGAGTTTATGACTACTCACTGCTGGAGCGAGAAAGCAGCAGGTGACTGGATTTTGGAGATTTTCGATACACCATCTCAGCTGAGAAATTTCAAGACTCCAGGTATGAATCTTTCCATTAGCTAGGCTCAGTGAGTCAGAAGACTTTCAGTCCCATAGAGCACTTAAGCTAAGGCTAAAAACAGACATCAGGTTTATCCAAGATCCAATTGTCCTGGGCTTTGACTCCCATCAAAGCATGTGTAGGACAGTCCTAAACACAGGCTGCTTGAATGCTAAGTAACTCAAATTATTCCCAATTATCCCAGAAGAAGAAATGTTATCTCAATACCACAGTGAGCTTATACATCTTCAGGATCCCAGAATAAAAGACTTTGTTCCAGGAGAACTCCAATGTCTGTTTTTAGTCTGAGTCCCTCTCTTATTTATGCTTGTGCAGTCACACTGATTTCAGTGGGATTACAGAAATGTAAGTGAGTCCAACATTTAACTCCATCTATTTGTTAAACTTTTTTTTACGCTCTGAGATGTGGAGAGCCTTCTTACTCTGAACCTATTTCTGGTTCATATGGAGCAGGATGGTAACAATACAGTGCATTGACCTTTCTAAGTCTCTGCCTAAAGGTATACACAGGAATTGGCTAGAAAATACCTGGCTTTTGAGGAGCAGAAACAGACCAATGTACTGTCTCAGATAAGCTACCTAGTGCTGGTGCCTAAAACCAAAAATACTAAAGCATTTAGAAACAAGTTTTCAGAAAAAAAGAAGCCTGAGATTGGCACAGGCTACCATTTTTGGGGGTAGTTAATAAAACATTTGCAAGCTGCTAAAGCCTGTCCACTCCTCAGATCCTGAGCTACTTTTGCATCAGTTGGGTCTCCAATGAAAGAGAGAGAATCTAAGGATCACTGTATATTATGCATAATGCCAGAGACCCCTTATGCCTGCTAAAGCAGCTGGAAATCACTATCCACACTTGCTGTGACACCTGCAGGGCCACCTTTCACTCTAACCCAGTGGAAAATCCCTTTACTCTGGGGGTAAGCCTATAACCAACTGCAATTGCCTTGAGGTTCTGCTGTTGGGCACACTGCAAAGTATCTCAGACCTTTTACTCTCACACTAACAATAAGAAATGTTTCTTATCCTCAGCAAATTTTCTGCTTTTATTTCCAGCTATGCATATGACCCATTTTATGCATGCACGTATCTGAAATGTTGATACTTGAAAATAAAAAGAAAATGGAGGATAGGATTTTCAGAGACCCAGTGGAGTTAGATGTCAATCCACTTGTTTGTATTACAAAATTAATATCCAGGTCACTTCAGGTACCTAAAAGTCTCAGCCCTGAGACTCATTTTTAAATAGATGCACTAGAAACAAAAATACCATTATTAATAATGAACATTGAGCATAATGTTTCATTTGGAATTTCACATTTGGAGTTTTGGAATTGGTGGGATGCTGTAAAATCCCACTTACATTTGGTTTCCATAAAGATTTATTTTATGGAAAAAAAACTCCAGTAAAAATTACATTGACAAGAAATCTAGAGTGAAAAATATTCATTATAGAGCTGGAGTGCTATTTATTGACAATTATTTAGTGGTAGAACTAAATTAACATTTACACTTACAGAGTGATTGAAAATATGGACAAGAAACTACTAGACAACAATATTACAATTAAGGTGAAAAAGTTGATGGATTACTAGCCTATCCACACACAGCCTATGACTTTAAAAAATATGTACAGAGATTTAGAATTAATGCTATAAATTCTGATTAGGACTACCATAAAATTACCAGTAGGAATATTGATTCCTAATTCAATAAATATTACAAAATACATTATCCTTCAGAAAATTATGTAAACTCATAAACCAGTCAAGATCTTACCTGAAATTAATTCTGGACTGCAGGAATAATAAGATATGCTTATTACTCAAAATAAAATATTTGAAGCCATACAAATATGTTCTTCAGAGTTTAACACTCTGACTTTTATTTTTGAAAATTCAAACGTAGTTATTCCTGAAAAAATAGTTTTAAGTGACAGTCAAGTATTTGAACTACTGACTCCAAATAATGCCAACTTTCATAACAGCTTTACACAAAAAATGAATAGAGAAAGAACTTTTGGCTAAAATATTGCCAACTTAGCTCAACAATTTATGATTAAAGTAACAAACACCAAACTGGTTTGATAAAATGAAGGTATGTGACTGACAGTGTAAGACATGTTAAGTATTTCCAATTCCATCTCATCAGAGAAAGTCCCACTAATAGCTTTGTCATCAGATGTAGGGATGGTCCTTTGTTGGGGGGAATGGAACAATTTATTTTCTCACTCAGTTGAAACTGATTTTGGTCTAAATTGCTTAAACTGGAATGAAGACTATATAATTCAGTATATCCAAGGTAATACTGAATGTGCTTCACTGAGAGGAATTTATTCTAGACTGCAAAACTAGGCAGTTGCCCATTTCACCCCTATTGTTTACAAATTGAATGGAATCATTTGCAGAGATCTAATAGAAATACTTATAAAGGACACAAAATAGCTCAAAGCACTGAGGATAATATTAGCTTAACCACTCCAGCAGTATCTAGGCCAAATTGAATTAGTTTATATAATAATGTTGTACAAAACTTTAATTTCAAAATTAAGACAAAACAGAAGTGCTGACTTTTGGTTTCAGGACTCTGTTAGTATATATAGGTAGATAACTTTCCATGCTAGTGGACCATGTCATCTTAAAAGGATTTGAGCATTCGTCTCTCAGATCAGCATGACACAACTGCCATTGAAGTCAACTTAATACCTCCCATTAATTTAAATGGAAGCTGAACCGAGCTGCTTAATTCCACCCTTACTGGGTTAATTATGGCCCAATTAATAGAGAATAAATCAGTTCGAAATCTCTGGAGGCCTAGGGACAGAAATTACACATAAACCGGTATAAGCAATCAGAAAATGGTTCGAAGCTGTAACACAACAGAAATTTAGTGCACATAAACTGCTTTCAAAATGGCTAAAATCAGTTTATGATGAACCTGGATGGAGGCAGTATCAGATTTAACTGATTTAGGTTAAATCGGTTCATTGAACTTTTGTCCCAGATCCCCTCCAGATTCATGTTAACTCACAGGATGCTTGGACCTGCCCAGCAAACCCTTTCTCGCAAGGTGGATGGGTTACCCTTGGCCCGAGCTGTCTGCCCCAGCTGAGCAGCAAGATGCCTTCTAGTGCTCCCCACTGCCTGCTTCTCGCCTGGGCCACTGCAGGCACGTGGCGGCATTTCCAGAATCAAAAGTGAATGTTTGTTCACTCCCTTATTGGTTCAATCTACACATCTTAGATTAACCTGCAAAGATTGAATAGATTCAGCCTTGGACTTTTTGACTATCTGTACTTAGTGTTGATTTCTTGAATTTCCCAGAAGTGTCCTAAAAATCAATGCATAAAATTAAACCAAATTCTGTTATATTATTCCAGTATTAACATATCTACATTACCCCAATCTTGGTTTTAGGGATAATAAAACTACATTTATAAGCCAAGATTTTCAAAAGTGAGTCTTGAATTGAGGTTCCCAAATCCATAGAAGATACCTGAAGAAGGGAGTCTGGATTTTTAAAACTGCTGAGCAAAAGGAAACTCCATATTATAAATCAGTGGAAGCTCCTAGATGGAAGGTCATTTATAGGTGCTAAATATAGACTTAGATTCAATTTACATATCAAATTTTGAAAGGCTGGGTCACCATATTCTGGAACATGAGCATGAATCACTCTTCTTGAAGGGGGTGGTTTCCAACTATCAGGCCCAGAACAAATTGCCTAGACAGCTGGAATCTCCATCATTCGTAGGCTGACTACGGTGCAGGACTAGATGACCTCCAGATGTCCTCTCTATTTTTCTATGATTTTCCAAGTTTTCATCCTTTACTCAGCTATATTAGACCTGGTTCTTGTCTTACCCCTCTAGGCATGTCCACAAGAGTGCGAATATTTGGTTCCCTGGGGATAACTAGCAGCAGCACAACTTGTGCCGCTGCTACTTTTACCTGGGGAATGCCCGTGCCATGTGCCCTCCGGCATGCAGTAGGTTACCCCAGGTGGAGTAGGGGAGGCTGAGGTCAGCACTGGGCTCACCCCAGCAGCCTTACCTGGGGCTCTGGGGGCCTCCTGGGGCTGCTGCAGTGGCAATCCTTGCCACTTGGAGCCTGGCTGGCAGCTGGAGTGTGGCTCCGGCCAGCCAGGCTCTGGTTTTGGGTGGCATGCACTGTTCCTGTGTGTGCTGCCCCACTTTTTTTGCACGCAGGTTTTTTTTGAGTTTCCTTTAAAGCAAGTACACGATATACCTATCACTCATTTAAGTGTCTTATTATCCAAAATTCTGAACAGGCTTCCTACCCTACTTCCGTCATGTATACTGCGAATTTCTGTTCTCTGCTTTAATACAGTATATCCTCTGAACCCAGTTTATATGGACATTTTAATTATATGAACCCCCATTTCTAGTCACTAAAAATGCTAAAAATATATGTGTACAGGTTTTTAGTAATAGGTTTTGCAATAATAATATCATAATATTTCTGGACTGTTGTATATACATTTTTCATTTTTACAATCCTATATCTTTTTGTTGCTATTTGATGTTATAGTTGTATATGTAAACATTTCCCATTTGTGAACTGAGACTAGTCCCTCAGAGTACAGATAAGTCAGGGTCTACCTACTGGATAAGCAGACAAGGGATATGGTGTGTCAGCAATATTATTTTTTCTGGTTATTAAAATAGAAACACATAAACTCCATTATTAAGGACTTTATCAATATTTTCATCTTACCCCTTTTATTCTTGGGGCAGCTAGAGGCCTTCCTATCTTTGGATGTCAGTTAGAGCAAACCTTACATTTTATTTATAACAGCCCCGTATGGTTCATCCAGCAGCCAAGTACAGCCAGTACATTCTAGCTGTCTCCCTCCTTCTCTGCCCTGGCATGCTCTCTGTGCTGAATCCTGGAAGAGAGCTGTCCTGGAGCCATTTTGGCAGATGTCCACCAGCTGGAGAACCTCCTTACACAAGGGCTATT